TCAATTTAGTGACAATTCATTTTGAAAATCATCATTAGGAATACGTCGTAATTGCTTGTAAACAAAGTAATTATTTTCTATTGTCATAAAAACAACGAATTTACTTTATCTGCCTTCAAATCAAAGCAGCGTTCCGGAAGAATGCGCACGCTGTCTTATCGTCACTATAAAGAGAGGACCATTTTCCATCAATCAACGGATACACTCATATCCTCACTCAATAGCAAACAACAACATACAAATGCGTTCGTTCACCATTGTGGTAGTGATTATGGCTCTCGTTGCAATTGTTGCAAAGCATTCATCAGTTGCAACACATGATTCTTACAGTCAAGCATTGCGTCGACGACTGAATGGTTACAATGATGACGAGCGTGAACAGTACAATATGTTTTTACGACGTGTCGCGCAACAGTTAGCTGATGATAAAGATGATGACGAAAGCTTTCGCGCTACAATGCGAAAGCGTGTTGACTCAGGTAAGATTTTCTATAAAAATAATTGATTAACACGTGTAACAAATGTTTTCTTGCCTTCTGCTGAATTTTAACTTATTTTCTATTATGAAAGGATGAGCATAGTATACAGAAAATGAGGTGTTTGTCGACGATCTTATTCGTTAATATTCTAAAGTAATCAGATCTCAGGAAGATACAAACCTCGAGTAATCAATCAGCTCTTCATACTTTCCACGCAAACTGATCAAAGATACTTTAGAACTGTAAATCTAATGAGGCACATGGTGGGTGATAATTAGGCTTATGGTCTAGGATGCTCGATGAAAGTCAGTAACGGACAGAATCGTAGTCTAGAGTATGGGCGTAGATGAATTCACAATAAATACTAAGCGCCCACGCTAAGAATGGATGACTGTGGATGTGGGTATAGTTAGGTTCGAGTGCCTATGCTTGGTTTAGAGACTAACAAAACATCCACACTCATTCACACAGATCCTTATCGAATTACATACACACCCCACGCTCACACCAACCTACCCTTAAGATAATATTATCTCACTTGTTTTTTGTCTATTTTATCAGTTTCAAACGATGGAACTATTCTTGGTATTGGCACAAACTACAAGCTCTATACACGCGCTACCTTGAATAGCGATTGGATCCAAGTTCCGAATACTATGGGTGAAGTCATTGCAGTTACACAGTTGCATGATGGAACGATTCTTGGTATTGGCCAGGATTATAAGCTCTGGACACGCGCTACCTTGAATAGTGACTGGATTCAAGTTCCGAATACTATGGGTGCAGTCATTGGAGTTACACAGTTACAAGATGGAACGATTCTTGGTATTGGCACAAATGATAAGCTCTATACACGCGCTACCTTGAATAGCGATTGGATCCAAGTTCCGAATACTATGGGTGCAGTCATTGGAGTAACCCAGTTACAAGATGGAACGATTCTTGGTATAGGCACAAATAATAAGCTCTATACACGCGCTACCTTGAATAGCGATTGGATCGAAGTTCAGAATACTATGGGTGCAGTCATAGCAGTTACACAGTTGCATAATGGAACGATTCTTGGTATTGGCACAAATAATAAGCTCTATACACGCGCTACCTTGAATAGCGATTGGATCGAAGTTCCGAATACGATGGGTGCAGTCATTGGAATTACGCAGTTAAATTATCCAACAATTTCAGGTATTAATACAGATTATAAGCCCTATTCACCCGCCTAGAAGTGGTATTTTACCTTTACTTTACTTTAGGAAGGTAGATAAAAGTAAAGTAAATACTGCTACCCGTTAGATAGATATATACCTTTTTGATTCTTCTGTATAAGGAAGGCATTATCCTCACAAATTTTCTTTGACACTGTTATCTTGAGGGTAGGGAAAAAAAATGAAAAAAAAAGGTTAATGTCGTGCTGTCCATGATACCTAGTGATTTTTGTAATTTTTTTAGTAGAACTGTGTGCCTTTACATATTAGTTATGCCCCCAAAGAATGAGGTCAATTGCTTGGATATTCGAGTAGCTGGACCTATGACAACATCTACAACTGGAGCATACTGCCATTTCTCTCTAGTAAACGATATAAGTTTAAAAACTTCAGGATGTGACTGGGTAGGTATGAGCGTTATTACCTCATTTATTCATGCACACACCCGCCAACCCTGTAACCGACAGACTTCATGGTCTCCACACACACGTGTATGTTAGTTTTACAACGGATGTATAGGTTGCTAAATTGCTTCGTTTACAACATAAGAAGCTCTATCGTGTTTCACATTTTTAATCCTGCGGGAATTGCGTCAATAACTTTTTCATTAGGTGGTTTATTAGATCAGTAGTTCTAGTGATTTCTTTGAATATTTGCAAAAAAATTTGAACTGTGTTTTCTTATAGCTACACCTACATCAAAAGCTGCAACAAATACAGCATCAAAAGCTGCAACTGCAACAACAACTGCACGTAAGGGTATTGGGTGTGGGTGTGGATGACGACGATAGAGCTAAAGAGACATCCATACCCACACCCTCAATAGTTTTTTCACCATCAGTAACGATTTAAATAGCTATGAACATTTTTAAATAGCGCTAGACAAGTTTGAGTAGTGTTGGCAATATAAATAGCTATGCAAGTATTTCAGATAGTGCTGGAGATCAAATAGCTAATGAGGAGAAGATTGATAAGGTTTACAGCTAAATAGAAGTCGAATACATATTTCTCTTTGTTATTTTGCAGAGATTGTTTATATAATAAAAACTGTATCTCTTTTGAGAATGAACCGTACAATTAGTCGTTACAATGGTGGCAATTCAGAAGAAGAAGAACTCTTCAGAACTCTCTATAATACAATTCTTCTTTTATGTTTCATCTAGATCTATCAACAAGCTCAAGATGCACAGAGATTGTCATCGGCAAAGATAACTATGGAGGTGATATGGACGCCACTCATCCAGCACAAGTACACTCACCAGCTGCATGCGCTGCATTATGCGAGCAATATCTAGATTGTACTGCATGGACTTTCAATGTCCAAAGTGGCAAATGCTGGACAAAAGATAAAACAACTTCTGTTAACGCTTCACCCGACGCAATCACAGGAACATGCAAGAAATCATCGAAATAAGATTATATCATCAATTGATTTTAGACGGAGAAAAGACTTTCGTAAAAAAACAAAATATTTATTCATTTTTTTTCTTATTATTATATTATTATCATTACATATTTATCTTTTACATTTATTCTTTTCGTTTTTTTTCAACATATAATTTATTTTAATCATTTTTTAATTCATATATATCTAAAGAAAATAAATATTAAAATTGAAGATAAGCCTATTTTTTTAATACTGGTCATCATTTGGTTTTCGATTGATCTGAAAAGAAATGTATGTAAATTGTGCATACTCTAGAATGTCTACATATGCGAATATAAGTAGAAAAGTAAAGAAATAAATTAATTAGATACACATTGCCATGTGCATAAATGTAAGAAAGAAAAAATGTAATCGAAACAAATAGAAAACGATAAATATAAAAAGATTTGATCATAGCATTGATGATTATTTATGAATGAAATATTCAAATTTTTCATAGCGAACTGTTATATGACAATTGAAATATTGTTGAATAGTTGTTTTCTAAAAGAATCAACCATCAACAGTTGAAATTTTTATACAAAATCATAATGAAATGTAGTTATATGTATTATTCATTTGTTTTACATATCTTTTCATTATAATTTTATGTTAAAAATAAATCATGAATAGTTACAAAAGAAGTGAAAAAATCTTTTGAGAATATATCTTTATAATCATTTTGTGACCTTAATTTTGTATTATTGATTAATGAATATAAAAACCATGTATTATATTAATAAATCTTTACTATAAATTCATACTTTAGAATTGTTTCTTTCATCGCCTATGTTTTTATTTATTATTTTGTGATTATATGGTCACATTGATATTCTTTTACATATCTCTACAACTATTTGAAATACTTTCGATTACATAAATAATACTTAAATTCGTATTAACATATTAAACAAAATTTCAATTAATAAATAGGAGTTGTTTTTAGTTCCAAAGCAGAGATCGGAGGGATAACCGAATTGTCCCGCGATCAATATTCATTGAATTTATATACTCCAGTGACTTATTTACAAGAAAAACGCTAAATATTGTTAGTAACGGTATCTTTTAAAGAACATTTGAATAATCTTATTTGCTATTTTTTATCTCCAATATATGATCTTCTTTATCCTTATTGACCACATAAAATCCATACTAGGTATATATTCGTAATTATTCTACAAAAAGAAAGAATATTCGAGAACTATGCTGTATATTTGCTTTGTCTACAGTTCCTATATAAGGTCTAATTGTAACCAAAGCGTCGAACTAATCATTCTCCATCTCAAGTAGACAATATTTCATTTATTCGATCAATATTATTAAATGGTTGTTTTATTATGAATTAAACTTCTTTCAAATTAGATTCTTTTTAATTATGTAATACATTTATTTAAAAATAAACAGTTAAAAAAATAAATAGTGAAATACTACGGACGTCTTTATCATTTATAAAATAAATTGATAAAAATCTTTGATAAGAGACGACAGGACGGGACTGGACAGAAAAATCCTTGTCTCGTCGATCTTTGTTATAGATATTAAACTAGAATCATTTGTATAAGATTTGACGATCGAATGATTTCATACATATGGATCTAAAAATTATAACTGAAAAATCTTTTGTAAAAATACACTTATGTAAGATAAATATTCGACTGTAAAAGACATTCAACATTCAATTTCACTTATTTTGTCGGTTCTGTCATCGTCATTGTTGTTGTTGCTTCTAAGATATTGGCGAAATAAAATTTAAAGAATAACAATAAATGTAGCAAATGATCAAAAGAAAATAGAATTTCAATTTAACAAACATAAGCAGAAGCTAACTATTCATTTCTTAAGTAATATATGGGCGTGTATTGAACCCAAACAATTTAGATGAATTATAATAATAACTTTTCTTTAGAGTGCATTATTTTGTACTGAATACTTGCTTAGTATTTCTTAATTTTCAACAGAAGTTAAATCAGCAATATTTTAAGGAATCGGATAGACTCATGCAAGAAAATAACAGCTCATGAAAAAATTAGTTAAATTAATTCTGCACTGTATTTTTGCTATTGAATATTAAGAGTAAAATTATTATAAAATTTCATAGGTTTTGGAATATCATTCTCCATAAATTCTATTGGTATCCAAGCTTGAAAATCATGACCTTTGATTCCATCATAACTCGAACGAAATCTTTCTCTATAGTACATGTATAAAGTTTCTTCTGATAATATCGGTAAAGTAGCTACATTGAATTGTTGCGCAGGAACTGTAAAATTTGTTCCATAAGGATCATTAAGTGAGCATGGATTGATATTCTGACCATCTAGATGATCTAGTGAAGCTTTTCCATCAGCACAATAATCTAATTCGCTGATATAAGTCCAATTAATAAGAGGATTAGTGCTGATAAATGTTCGCGCATCTCCACCCCATTGACAAAAACAACAATCAACACCTAACATCGTATAGTAGATACCTTTACTTTTGAAGACCCCGCCTCCTTCGTATCATAGATAATCTTCTTTCTCAAAAATAATAGAAAATTGCCCTGTACTTGTCATCCAATCTGGTGAAAGTTTTTCTATTACATGTCTCAAAGGTGAATCACGTGTATTATCATCATCAACGAATAGACCAGTAGTACTACTGATTACTGTTCCTTCTTGCATCACTAAAGGTAGAACATTCACGAAAGGACCAAAAGGTGTTGAAGAAACAGCAAGAGCAACCATCGAATTTTTAAATCCATATTTGCTTGACCAGTAGATCATAACATATTGGTTAGTATGACGATTATAACCAACATTTGGCATCCAATAATTAGTGTAGTTATGATCTGTAGTGACTTCAGGAAAAACATTATTACTACTCAATGTCCAATTGACGAGATCTGTTGAAATGTATAATGCAAACGTATTGTTCAAATAACCACATACAGCATCACAAATGGTTGTTGCTTGATGACAATTATCGTAAACTGTACCATACATGAAATAAGTATTATTGCATTTAACTAAACAACCATCATGTGCATCTACATAGGATCCATTTGCATCTAATCGTGGAATAACATTAGATATAACTACTTGCTTGCTTGAAACAAGTAGAAAACTTGCTGGAAAAAGGATACAGATGAAATTCATTAACACAACGCAATACTCAAAACAAAAGTCTACCTTTATTGATAAGATAGAATATGGTCTAAACGAAAATGTAATATCTGTAAATCTCTACTGTTTTATCATACTGGTGAGATAACAAGTTGCTATTGATATTGTTTCTCCTGTGTATACTTTAAAACAAAGAAAATCATAATTCGTTGAGTGTGGAAGTGATGGCTGTGGCCAAAGTATAAGCCTAATAGTCTCATCCATACGATCTTGAGGGTGGGTGCGGGTGGTATTCATGTCTTGATGTGATCCACACCCACACCCACCTTCAAGATCAAGGGTAAGAATGTCCCTTATACATTGTGCACATATACCTTTATGGTAGTAGAATACAGAAATTTCGATTTATTTTGTCATTTACGTGCGTCATGAGCTCGACATTTTGTCGTTCTGCTATTAGTCATATTGCGGTATTAAACAGTTGTATAACTGAAGTTTCGACGACGAATAGTCATAAAAGGACGTAGTCACTTCCATAATTTCGTAGAAACGACAATAAATAGTACGTCATCATGATAATGCAGGTAATAAAAAAAAGGAAGTGATAACATGTCTCGAAATAAAAGCACATGCAAAAGCGGTTTTCTTCTCATTATTTTCTTCGTTTTCTTTCATACAGATACAAATATTATGTCGCTAGCTTTAGTTGTACGCGAAAATAAGAAGCTGATTGTCGAAAAACTTGATGTAAGTGATATTATTCTCTACCGCTGTTTGTTGAATAAATATAAAATTACGTCTTTAACATTAATTTAGATACCAAAGTATGGATCAAAAGATCTTCTCATCAAAGTGACTCATTTTGCACAGAATCCTACAGACTGGAAACATGTTCACTTCGACTTGGCCAAACCCGGTTCTATTGGTGGTTGTGATTTTGCTGGTGAAGTCGTTGAAATAGGCAAAGAAGCTATAGGTTCGTACACAATTATTTTCCTTTCGCCACTTTAAGGAGCTTCTCAAATACATTGATTTCGCTAGATTTTTTGCAGTAACTAAAAATGATCTTATCTGATTAGAGAGTTATTCTTGACAAATTAAATTTTTAATTTGAAAAAAAGTCTAGGAAATATCTAATTTATTTATTAATGGTGCTCACTATTCTTTATTAATACAATTCATCAAAATTTACAGTAATAACCAGGAACATTTTTAAGTAGATTAATCTTCCTTATGAAAAATTCTTACGAATTGATATTTCTTGTTCAAACTTTTATTTTACTTATAACTAGGACTCATAACGTAGAAAAAAACCTCTAAAACTAATATTTCTAGTGGATGCTTCTCTTCAACTCTCTAAATAATACACATCAATAGCTCTTCGTATATCCTGAAAGGTTCAGCTCAAACAGATGAACTTTTCTCAAGATATGACATACATAAACAAGAGACTATTCTATTCGATATGATCACAGATGTTGTGAATAAGAAATTTGATGAACTGTATGAATATATTTTCTTAACCTGTTTGCAATTTCTTCTTTTAGGAAACTATAGGAAAGGTGAGCGTGTAGCTGGCTGTGTTCATGGATGTCTTGATCCCAAATTTGGAATTCGTGGGTCATTTTCTGAATATGTTGTGCAAGAAGCGTCACTTGTCTTTCATTATCCGTCAACAATATCTCCCAAAGCAGCTGCTACACTTCCACTTGCTAGTATTACGGCAGCTCTAGGTCTCTTCCGCAAACTAGCCTTGCCTTTACCGCCTACTACTTGTAGAACATCTGTTCTAGTTTGGGGAGGCAGTACAAGTGTTGGTCAATATGCTATTCAATTGGCTAAGGCAGCAGGTTGCTTTGTTGTTACAACAGCGTCACTGGCTCGTCATAGTTACTTGAAAGAGCTTGGTAGTGATACATGTTTTGACTATAAGGATTCGAATGTTGTCTCGCAAATCAAGCAAGTCACTAATGGTAATTTGGCTTATGCTATTGATTGTGTCTCCGAAAAAAGATCAATTCAACAAGTGTGCGCAACACTCACAGGTGCAAATCCACAGGTAGCCACTGTTTTACCTGGTCTGTCAACTGAAATTCCCTCTCACATCAAAGAACACAGCCTTCTGATGTATACAATCTTCGGACGTAAAATGAACGTCTTTGGTCAAGATTTTGAAGCCCAACCTCAGGATAAAGCATTTGCTGAGAAGTTATATCAACTACTCTCCGATGTTTTATTGCCTCAAGGCTTAGTCAAACCAAACAAAGTGACTAAAATGCCAGGTGGACTCAATGGAGTCGAAGAGGGATTCAAGAAAATGATGGACAATAAGGTGGCAGCTGAAAAGATTGTCTATACAATGGCAGAAACAACAAAACAGTAGATATAAAAAGGACATATACATTTTTGCTATTTTTTTTTTGTATTTTGCATACAAATAATATAATCAAGAAATAAAGCGTGAATTTTTATAAAAAATTTATTTAACAGTTCAATAGTAGAACAAGTAGAAAAAAAGAAGAGTTTTTGTTGCACAAGTTTGCAGTGCTTCCACATCAAATACATTTTGTTTAAACAATTCGTTAACAAATGAGTTTTAGTCAAGAGCGAATTTAATAGATCGATGTTGGTGTTCATAAACTGAGCAGTAAGTTGTGAAATATCTAAGACTCTACAAGTTGTCTATAACTGCGAAAGTTAAAACTGAATACATCATTTTGTAAAAAAAAAAAGAATATTCGACAAGGTAAGAAACTGATTTGTTACATTAAGATTTGATTTTTTTCACAAAAGAAATATCAAAACTTTGATTCTTGCTGTAATTCATTATCGAAGATTTCTTTCAAAAAAAAATATATTTCAAAATACAAAGTTTTCGAAAAGAAATCAAGCGATATCATAAAAATTAGTAAAAATGGATCAATTCTTGTTTATCAAAAATGAATGTTAACTTTCATTTGATCGTTTAAAGAAAATAGAATCATGTGTATATGAAAGAGGTCAAAAATAACAAAATCAATGGGAAAAATAGTGTCATTTGCTCTGCTAAACGGGAGCTACCGTCTGTTAGCCATGTATCTTCAGCGATGCTTGTTGCATTCCATTCTTCATTTAGTTGTCTTGTCCATGTTCTTTCGTCGAGAATCATTTTTTTTGTTGTATTTCCATATAGATGAGGATAGATCGTTGAATTACTCGTTGACCATTCCCATTTAACGTCATATCCATTTTTTATCATCCATTGATAATCTAATTTAAACACCCATAATTGAACTGTATAATTATAATTCTTCATTGCAAGTGGAAGAATATTAATTGCTCTGGCTAAATGAACGAAACCATCTGCTGCATCACGATCAGACATTGGAAGAATTTCTGGAAGAGGTGACGGTGGTGCTTCTGTAAGAAGTTGATAGAGAAAATGTGGAAGAGGACTCGGTGGTGGAGCAGCTATAGCACTATCAGCACCTGAAAAAAATGAAATGACATGAGGATAGTATGAATCTTATAGGTGTTTTCAATGCAAATCAATGGCAATCTTCATTATATGTTGCTTACCTAGTATGTTGATGGACATGCAGATTAACAGAATGAATATGTTGATCATTGTCTACCGGTTCAAGAAATTGAAATGAGTATGGCTTTGTGATATTTTATATTTATATGGTAGCTTCTTATCTTATTCAAGTACTTCCTAAATACAAAAGAATACATTTTGCGATGTGTCATATATTGACAAGGAAGAAAAAGGCTGAATACAATGATTTTGACTCACTTTTATGACCACTTACGATCGATACCAAAACGGCAAAAACCTAGTTGTCTATAGTTGTTTTATACCATACAAAATCATGCACAATCAAAGTTGAGGAAGTCTAAGCTTTACCGAATCAGGTTAAATACTCTGCAGAACATGAAATTTGTTCGTATATTTGGATGTGAAACTGTTTTATTTATCTCACATTCATATCTACTAAGTCTTACAGTTCATGTTGAATTACGACGGATGAAGGGACTCTGTTGTACCGAATTGGGCTCATTATTTGATTCTTTTTATTTGCATATACCCACTCTCTCATTATCTCTTCTTGACTTTGTCACATCTGATATTATTTCATTTGTTTTTATTATTAATTCTACTTGAACTATCTAAATATTCTACATCTAGAACTTCAAGTACTTTATTCATATATTTTCAATATAGAGTTCTAAAATTTATTTCTATTAACAAACAAAATAATACAAAAAAAAACGTTCACAAAATAAACTGCAAATCTTTTACTTATTATTACAAGCACAATACTAAACTAGCATCAATGTTGAGTACCAATATGCTGAGCTTGTCTTTTCTGAAAAAAAATATAACAGTTTGTTTTGATTGATTCGCATGGGCGAAATCTGGATTATGTGATATGTTAAACTTATATCATGTTAATCTTCTACAAAACTTAGGGTACGAAATGTCACTTGTTTATCCTTTTCTTGTTCAATGACAACAGCATTTTCAACTTCTTTGACATGCACAACGGCGTTTCTTGGATGAAAACATATGAGAAACAAAGTTCCAGCAATAAATGCTACACATGCCAATGCTGTGTACATCCATGTCAGTTTTGGATTGACAGTAACTGGCAAGAGAACAAAACCCAAGGCTGAACTTATTGCATGTGTAATAAAATAGGCTGATGTCACAACTGATTTCATTGTAGATGGTGCCTTGACATAGGCATATTCCAAAGCTGATATTGAAGCAAAAATATGTGATAGAGCTGTGAAACAATACGATGGAATTTGCCAAGCAGCATTTAGATTATTAGATGGATTACTAAAATTAAAATCTGGATTTGTTTGATAGATTTTTGATTGTACAAAAGCTGTCCATGCCATTCCAATTGAAACCATATAAAAGCCAATTGTAATACGTAAAATACTATGAAAATTAATTTTCATTTTTCTCAACATTGGATACAATGCTTTGTTAAATATTGGCACAAGTAGAATAGTAATAAGTGGATCAATATTGTTAATGACATCATTTGGTAATGGACCTGTATTCATTTGTGCTGCTTGTGATATAAGATTTCCATGTATCTGATTGGTACACAAAGAATAAATAGGAAAAAATAAAAATATTTTACTAGCATTAAATGCTTGTTTCAAATTTTCAATGAATGTATCATCCCAGTTAAAATTTTCTTTTGTCGAAGTATACGTTGATGGTTTACTATAGTCTAATATAGATGCCATCCGTGGTAATGTTTTACCATATTTTCGGCGAAGAATAAAAGCTGTTCGTATAGCATTGAATGATTTGACTAAAAGTGAACCAGTTGGAGGAATTTTCACATATCTATGACGTCCTGTTAACAGCACTATGAGGGCAATAAAAAACACTACGAATGGAACAAGATAAGATAACCAAAAGGAATGATATTTTTCAATGAGTGTCGTCAAAATCGATGCTAATGAGCCAGCACTGACTACCAAATAAAAATAATGGAACATCGATTCAGTAGTAATAGATGGACTGATAATCACTTCAATATTTCTTTTTGATACTTTTTTGAATGGTTTTTTACGTGTATATTGTTCAGCCATGAGAGAAGATATATTAGATTTTATTCCACCTGTTCCAAGTCCAAGAAAAAGCATTGCAATAATTAGTCCAGGCATTCCTAGTCCAATTGATAGTGATTGTGGAATTGATGTTAACAAAAGTATCAATAAACCGATGATATAAATAAAACAAGAAATAACAATTGTCTTATATTTACCCATATATTGATCAGCAACAATAGCACCTACCATAGATGTTAATGCCGAATAAAATCGAAAGAATGTTGTTAAACTTGTAGCTACTGTTTGACCTTTATTAAGAGCACCTGGTTGATGATGTCCATCGTTATGATCAGGAACAGGAAATTGTATGTAATTTTGAAATTGACCATTTAAACCGTAATATGCAAATCCATAAGCAAATTCACAAAGTATAATTAACCACACATTTACAGGTATTCTATCAGAAACATGTGGCAAAGATTCTATTTCTTCATTTGTTGGTTCGACTTCGTCGACCAACTCATTAATTGCTATAGATGACTGATTCGTCATTGGATAAGAAGTAAAGTTTCAGTTTCAAATTAGTTTTAACTGATATTATGGCAGTGATGGATGGTTATATATATATAAGATAAATTTTTCCAACATTTCTTCCAATTGACACTTTATGATATTTATTAGGAAGACAGTGTATATTGATATTATATTTGTGACACGTCTTTATCTTGGAAAGAATGAATTGTTTTATGACACTCGTTTCATCATTGCCTAAACATCATGACTATACAAAATGATAAAACTCGTATAATAATGACACAATGTGCATACATCAGATAGCGAGAATCTATTAAAAGATAACTGCAAGAATTTCATTGAGGTGTTTTTAATCTTCACACATCTATATAAAAATGAAACTTCCCCGAAAGTGGTTATATTAACAGCTACAAAACGACAAAAGTGATAATTTTGAGTGGATTATTGAGTGACTTATATGGTTTTATTTCTATTTGCGGTTGTGACTCAAGATAATGTGTGATATAGACACTCTCTGTAAGACAATATAAAAAAGAAGATAATCAGTCATTTTATGATCATATATTCTTTGAAAATAAAGTATAGGAAGTAAACCACACTTCCTCCTAATAAACATGACACACTTGGTAGTTTCTTTTATTAGTCTGATTACTATAAAAGTCTACTACTTTTTCAGTCTCAATTACGCTTTATAATTGTTCTGTTGTATTGTGCAGATATAACAAAAATGGTATTGATAGCACCACTTTCAAATGAATCACACTCATCTAAAGATCGATGTCTAGGCAAAAAGACGTTGATAATAATTTTTGGTGTGATAGTATTGCTTGCATTGGGTGCTTGTGTTTGGGGAGCTGTTATGACTTCCAAGTTTGTCAAAGTTAATAAGGAGAAATCGATTTATTCTGAAGAATTCGATTTCATTGTAGTTGGACTTGGTGCTGGTGGTTCAGTTATTACTTCTCGATTATCAGAAGTATCAAGTTGGACTGTATTAGCTTTAGATGGTGGTCCACATGAAGAATTTAGTTCTACTCATATAGATCCAAACAATTTATTGCCAGTCTACAGTTTTGTATCTCCTCATGATCCAATCATTACTAGTTTACCATTACGAGCTGCCAACAATAAAATCATGTATTTACCACATTTCAATGGTCTTGGTGGTACAGCTCGTTTGTATGGTGGTATCAATGTTCGACCATCTCCATCGATCATGCGTCGATGGCCAGCTAATTGGACATATGATGATTTACTACCATATTATAAAAAAATTGAAGATCACTATTGTTACTATTATAATGAGATTATAACTGGTATATCCAATGAGGATTGTCGAAAATATCATGGTCAATACGGTCCACTTCAAGTGAATCCAACTTATCTTCCTGAATTTGCTAATGTATCCAAGTTATTTGAACCTATTTGTAAAGATGTTAGTCAACTTTGGAAAGGTTATAATGCTGATATAAATGGTCAAGAACATCTTGGATGTTCTTTGTTTCAACGTTATTTCAATCGAAAAGAAAATAGAACTGATGAACAATCAGATTATTTTCTTGGTACATCGTTTCAAGGTTATCTACAACCATCAGTAATCAATCGTGTTAATCTGCGTATTCGATCAGCAACGATGGTTACAAAAATCGTGTTCGATAAAAGCTCACCACCTAAAGCTATTGGAGTGATGATTCAAAATGCAACAGGTTCATATACTATTAAAGTTAATAAAGAAGTAATACTAGCTGGTGGTGCATTTGCAACTCCGCATCTTCTTCAAGTAAGTGGTATTGGTGATCCAGTAGCACTTGCTCAAGCTCGTATTCCATTAGTGGCTACAAATTATCATGTTGGAAAAAATCTTCGAGATCATGTTGCTGTTCCTATGATACTCCGAGTAAAAGAAACTTCTTCAACATTTCCAAATGTTGGAAAAAACTCAACTGGGTATGTGAAATCTATACCAAATGGAAGTAAATCATGGATAATTACGTTGAATACTGGATTACGACAAGATAACATTACAGATTTGCAAATCTATTTCTCAAATACGAATTATCATTCACCAGATCTCTTCACTAATTCTGAACCTCGTCAATGCCGATTTGGCTCCAATGGACATCGTGAAACACCGGCTGAGATAACACTGCGCATGATTTTACAAGATCCTTCATTTTTGGGTAATGTAACTGCAATTTCTGATAATATTCATCATAGACCTATTATTAATTTCAATTGGGAATCGATTAGTGATTATGAATATAGTGTGTTTAATGTTACAATTGAAAAATTTCGATATTTAATTAAGAATACTGATTGGGGTAATCTAATTGCAGAAGAAGTATATCCCGGTATTGACGTTCCCTTGAAAACTTTTATTGATGGTCATTTAGAAACTGCATTACATCCGATTTCAACTTGTCAAATGGGATTGTGTAGTGATACAAGATTACGAGTGTTTAATATAAGTCAAGTTCGTGTTTGTGATGCTTCAGCATTTGGTGAACAAATAGATGCTAATCCATCTGCAACTATATTTGCTTTGGCAGAAAGACTACCCATGTAAAAAAAAAAGGTTAAAAATCTGATTTTCATCGATTTTTCGATGATGAAAAATCGATTTAAATGGCACGATTTACATCCGATTTACATCCGATTTTTCATCAACAAAAAATCAATTAAAATCTGTTTTTCCTAAAAAATCAATAGAATCCGATTTTCATGATTTCTACCAATAAAATCGATTTTAATTGATTTTTCGCCGATGAAAAATCGGATGAAAATCGGATGAAAATCGTGCCATTTAAATCGATTTCTCATCATTGAAAAATCCATGAAAATCATATATTTCAAAACAATAGGTTTTAACAGATTTTGCTCAAATTTAACATCTATTAAAAATCATGACTTTTACATCGATTTTTCCTTGAAAAATCGACGTTAATAGTTTCTTAACTATTAAGATCTTTTCGTTGATCGGATTCATTAGGAAACCTTTTCAAAGCCATTTCACGATGTTCTACCAAGTGCCACATTCTAGTACCAAAGGACCCTGACCATAACAAAAATAATCTAAACGTGGCCTTAAATTTCGATCCATTTTTTGTTCTGTTGCACATTTCCATATTTGGCTACTTTGCAACGTACTATGAAAGCCTTCCATATTGCCAATAGACCTTCACCACCATCACAAAAAGCGATCAGTTCATCCCGTGGAGATACGTATTGCTTAGTTGCAAGTAGGTCTATTAATAGACCTACCTCACCATGTAAAGTCTAAAATACAAAATGAATTACAAACATTTCAATATCTATGGACCTACGCGATGCGCCCTTGGAAACTTGTAAAATGAAACTAAATAAGAAAAAGATGGGTACATATAAGGTCATACCTACTGGACTATTCAAATTCAAACGTTTCTGAATCCAAATCGATACATACGAAGAAGTGATCAAAACCTGTAAAATGAAACTAAATGAGAAAAACATGAACACATATAGAGTCATACCTGACGGCCTATCCGAATCTGGACGTCCATGAACGTAAATAGCCACATACGAAGAAGTGATCAATCGTCTAAAATGAAAATAAATGTGAAAAACATGGGTATATATAAGGTTATACCTACCGGACTATTCAAATTCAGACGTTTCTAAATCCAACCAGCCACATACGATGAAGTGATCAAAACCTGTAAAATGAAACTAAATGAAAAAAAACATGGGTATATATAGGGTCATATCAGACGGACTATTCAAATGCAGACGTCCGTGACTGTCAATAGTCAAATCGGACGGTTAAGGACATTACATCAGTATGTGACCCATAAACTGCTCAGAACGAATTAATTAGCAATCCTCAATCTAGTACTCAACTAATTAAGACAAGACTAATTAAGACAAAACTAATTAAGGTCAACTAATTAAGACAAGACTAATTAAGGGTCAACTAATTAAGACAAGACTAATTAAGACAAAACTAATTAAGGTCAACTAATTAAGGCAAGACTAATTAGCGGTCAACTAATTAAGACGACACTAATTAGGACAAGACTAATTAAGGGTCAACTAATTAAGACAAAACTAATTAAGGTCAACTAATTAAGGCAAGACTAATTAGCGGTCAACTAATTAAGACGACACTAATTAGGACAAGACTAATTAAGGTCAACTAATTAAGACAAGACTAATTAAGGGTCAACTAATTAAGACAAGACTAAGTAAGGGCCAACTAATTAAGACAGGACTAATTAAGACTGAACTAATTTGGACAAAAAATCTATTTCTTTTAAAACTTAATCGATGAAAATCTATTTCAAAAGAAAAATCTATTAAAATACATTAAGTCTAAAATTTAATCGATGAAAATCTATTTCATAAGAAAAATCTATTA